GACTCTATTTCTCTGCTCGGACTCTCGAATCTGATATTTGCGGTAAGGAGGAGATTGAGAATCTGATGTAGCAAGTCGCGGAGCACTAAGCCGCACTTCTACTCTGCCAAGGCAAAATGAAGTGAGATAGTCCAGGTCTTTGACTGCCTTTTCAAATTCTTTACGGCATGCCTTGCTTGTACAGCGAATGCACGCAGTCGGATTAAGGTGTACAACTTTCTCTTTCGTCACATGGCCGGCCATACGCAGTTCAGCTTCAAAGATTTCTTCTGGTGATGACCAAGTGGATACAGCTGCCAGATCTCCCATTAGCCTGGGATGTATCACTTCCCTCCACCTAGTTACTAAGACAGGAGGACAAGGGAATGTCGTCAAGCGGCCGACATAAAGCTTTGTCCTAGATATGCTGCCCTTAAAACGGATTTTCGTGTGCCAACATTCAAGAGTAGGTGATCTTATATCCATAATAACGGTTTTCTGTTGTGCTTCTGGTACTATTTCAACGGTATGGTAATCGCCTGGTTGTATCGATTGGCTTTCGGGCAAATCTGGAGCTTGACTTGCGTTGGCGTCTTGCGTCCTCCTGGCTGCCTCTGTTGAGGTTGTAGTAACATTTTCGATTTCTGGCGAAATACGATTTTGGCTATAGGAAATCAAAGAACTTCCTGGAATTGCTGAAAGGCTTTCATCGAGCGATGGAGGGGCGCTATGGCTAGGCCGTGTAAGATCCTCTCCAGGAGCGGAATGCTGGTCTCCAGCAGGAATATTGTTAGAGGGTGTTCTGAGCAGTGGCGAGGAAAGCAGCTCTTCTAGTGCTGTGAAGTCGTGTTCTGAGCTTGATAGAGGAGTAAGCGGAGGAGTAATGGGCTGGTCAGGTCCGTAACGACATGTGGTTTGACCTTGTATCGGGTGGCGACGCGTGCGAGTGCGCTCTAGCTGCAAACCTTTCATTACAGAGGTGCATCAGCTGATCAATCATTCAACCTCCCAATATGGTATGCGCGATTGAGTCGTGAGTTTGCTAAAAGTCATAAAGAGGTTGATAGATTTTCACGTTAGATCTGCAAGCCTCAGCTTGCGGGAGGGGTTTTCGAAAGGCTCCTCCCAAGGCTCTCGCTCAGGTTACACCGATGGTCTCCTGCATGCAGGTGCAGCGTGCCCTTCACCGGTTCTCAGCCCCATGATAAAGGCGCAGCTCGAACCCAAATACGAAGCAGCCAATAAAGCCATACATATCTCTACTTCTAATCTCAATGGGACATGCAATTTTTTCGCATTAGGGTTATCTCCCTAGAGCAGTTTCAAATCGCTCTTTCAGCCTTATCACATTTCACAGGTCCTCAATCATGCGCCAGGCTGGTCCCTTCACGAAAAACATTCTCGATAGTCTAGATACAACCAAGGCGTCCTCGGGATTTGATCTCGTATGCAAGATATGGCCTAATGCTGGATTGTCTACTCGAACCTTCCGAGAGAACGAATATGCTTCATTTCTCGGATACGTCAACCAGGAGCTGCTATATCTGAGGCAACATCAAACAGAATTTGCGGCTGAGAGCTTGGAAGGAACCATCGACTTGATTTCTTTACTGAAATCCGACCTTGACCAACCACGGCATGCTGTTCTGCGACGAGTGAGGGAGCTGTACCCGGATGTGGAAGAAGCTCATGTTATACGAACTCTAGAACTCGTAGCTCGGCTTTGGCTTACGACTAGGGTGGCAATGGGTGATATGGCTACGATACCAGTTTTCGGAATGATCGAATGGACTTCGGATATCTCCTTAAGGGACGCGATCCAGTCGCACTACCCCCTCGCAGAACCAGAAGACAAGGTAGAAAAGTACTTTAGCCAAAGCCTAGATCCTAGCTTCACGGCTGCCACACTCGTTGAAGTCTGTCGCGTCAGACTATCCTGGACGTCCAACCTGATGGATCATCTTAGATTCGATAAGCGCCATCGCATCTTGATGATATACGAGCATAAAGTCTGCCTCCTCAACCATTGCGAAGGCGTAGATTCACCACTTCCACTTGCTCTTCTCCAAGAGACGATAGACACGCTGAACCTTCTATTTCCCTTCGGTCACGGCCCGACGCGTGAACTGCTCCGGCGAGAGTATAGAATGGGGCTTTATGGCTTGGGCACCTGCAACAGGGGGCGTCGACTCGCACTTGGGGACTATAAAGTTTGGCGGGCACAAATAGTGAGCTTGGTAGAAGTGTTCAATGAGCCACCGCGAGACTGGTGGCAACTATTGAGCGATCGAAGGAATTTGAGGGATTGGGCGACCTTCTGGATTGGACCGATAGTCCTGGTACTAACTATAGTGAGCATCGTATTCGGTACTGTCAGTTCGGTGTACACAATCAAACAGTATAATCTCGCCCGGGCGCAGGCTGATTCCTCTTCAGGCAACGTAAATATAGATTGCGCGCGTCAATCAGACATCTTGTAAGGGTATATTGGTAGCAATTATGAAACAGACCTGTTTCCGTCAATGATAAAGGTCCCTCCAAAGGTGTGAGACATCGCATATCGAACGACCTGGAAATGTGGGTAGTCTTACAGCAAGCACAATCCACCTCTTTAACAAAAAAAAAAGCAAATAGAAAATTGCAACCTGAGACTTCTTCATCTTGGCTATTCCGACCCATCTTCAGGCAATTGCGCAACAACGTCCTCCACCATCCTAATCAACTCATCCACGTCTGGTCTCTCTCCGGGCTCAACCTTCAAACAATTCCTCACAACCTCCTTTACGCTGTCACTTATTCCCTCCCCATCCGCTGGCTTCTTCGCACCCCGCCCTTCATCCGGAAATCTCCAATCACCACCAAGTACACACATACTTAGACTACCGCCCGTCTCGTCACTGCGGGCCTCGAACGGCGATTTACCTACGAGACACGCATAGAGCATGCAACCCATGCTCCAAATGTCTACCTTTGTGTCGATGACGGTGCCGGTTTTCACGTCGAAGAGTTCGGGCGCGCGGTAGGGCATGGTGGAATGTTCGGCGGCGGTGTCTTGAACTTGTAGGGCGAGAGAGCGGGAGGTTATGGGGGTAGGTGAGGGGGCGAGCGAGCCGAGGTCCATGAGAATGGGGGTTTGGCCATCGTCGTCTATCATTACGTTGCCTTTTGGAGAAGTTAGCACATTCCAGAAGTACCTTAGGAAAGATGGACGTACCGGGCTTGATATCCCGGTGGGCATACGCCCTCTCGCCGCCCGGCGCAATGCCCTCCTGCGCCATAGACACCTCGCCCTCCATTAACGGCTCCGCCTCGATTTCCTCGTCATCGTCATCCTCCCTGTGCCTCCTACTGGCGCGCATCTCCATCGCCTCCGCCGCCTCGGCATCCGCCCTCGCAGCATCCTTCCTAACTTTCTTCGCCTTGCCTTCGCTCCGCGCACCGCCGGGCCCCTCCCTCACCCTATACTGATGCATTGACTTGAGCGCCTTGCATACGCCCAAAAATAGCTGCATCAGCCTCTTTTCCGGGAACTTCGTATGATTGACCAAGTTCGCATTGATCATGTCCTGCAGATTTCCCCTGCGGTAGTAGGGCAGCAAGATATATACGGTCTTCGCGGAGGGGTCTGATTTGTCTGACGCGACACTGTAGTCGATTGAGTGTATGATGTTGGGGTGTGGCGAGAAGAGCGAGTAGGCCTCCACTTCCTTGAGAGCTTGCGAGACGGATTCTTGGCCGAAGGGACAGCGGATCTTTTTCAGAGCGAAGAGTTGCTGGTTGGAGTTATCTTGTACGAGGTAGACGTAAGAGAAACCGCCCTTTTTCCAAATAATTAGATGGTGTTTTGCAAGGGGTTTGGAAGAAGGTGTCTTACCTCGCCGAGCAGCCGTAGTATCTTGAAGCTCCGGCTGTTTATCTTGAGCTGTGGTGAACCGGGGAAGCACACCATGCAATTTGTGAACGAATATACGACGTCGAGAAAGTATGACCCTAATGACCCCATTTTGACAAGTGTGCGATGTCAACGACTGGGAGCTATTGGGGGTTCGTGGACAGCTATGCGGAGCTGCTTATGGGACCTCCGGGCGGGAAATCAAGGGATGCGCAATGCAAGTAGAAGTGCGTACGATAATTGGCAATACAACGATGAATATCTTGTCTAAGATTGGGTCGTTTCGGGCGGAGGATAGGTAAGTTGTTTGTCGTAGCTGCGCGACGGTCTTCGGCGAAGCTGAGAGGTGGTTAGTACTGGAAGCGCCAAGATGAATGTGGCTGAGTTTGTCAGCCACATCCTTGGAACGAGGCGCGCCATAGAGCTTCGTCACCCATATCGCGTCCCTAGAATCCAGAGAGCATCACCACGATAGTCATCGTCGTCTTCCTCAAGGATACAGAGCATACTTATTATGTGTTGGAAATGCATGTATAGCAAACATAGCACTTGGCCTATACATCAAACGCACTCATCTACTGCATCGACTGCATCGACTGCGAATGTAGGAACTGAAGATGGATAATATACCAAGTGGAGGTTGCCGGTAGATGTGACAAGAGATACATCGACTATCCATTAGGCAATGATTAAGTTCGAGGAAAGAAGCAAAGCTAATTATAAAACCCCGTCTTTCGTCAGTTACGGCATAGGGCATCGAATAGACTATCATTGCTTTACTCGTCTTCACAACCTTGCCTTAGACTGAACTGATGAGATAACCATTAAGCAAATCAACGTCATTGAAGTAGGATCATAGCTAATGATGCTCGATCCAGGGACCAAGTACGACATGCTCATTTATCTCTTTGACGATAAGATAGCACCCAAATTTCAAAAGAGACCTAGCTCCTAGGCGAGCCGTTTCTGTAACTATAAGCTCCATATGACTCACGCCTCGCTCGTTATGGGCACCCCACTAAGATGCAAAGATCCAGAAAGGTGAGCTCGAGGAACAGGAGAGCAATTGCCGGCTTGCCTCTGGGTTATATAAGACCAACCGGCCATTCAAGGCTCAGACAATCGTGACGGACCATTGGCGCAACGGTAGCGCGTCAGATTCCAGCATTTGGGCATGGGAAATCCTGAAGGTTAGCCGTTCGAATCGGCTATGGTTCATAAGGAAAAATTTTTTTATCTTTCAAATTCGGGTCTTTCTGTGTAGTATTTAGTATATTGACCCTAGGTGTGCATTGACCCTTGACGTGTATTAATCCTTGGCGTGCATTGATCCTTGGCGTGCATTGATCCTTGGCGTGCATTGACCCTGGAGGCACGAGAAATCCCTCATTCTCAGAGTGGGGTATCAATCGGGCTTAGACGGACCGCTCTTTTCAAACTTTGTCGTCAAGATGCTATGTCGAATCTATAGCACTGTGCTCCTCTTTTTCGACAGTTTGAGTCAACGTCTGCAACCCAAGTGTTATTGTTTTAGCCCACCTCCGTTGACATCCACCATGACCGCACCAGGATTGCACACCTTGACGGCAACCGAGATCTCTAAATTAATCAAGAAGGACGAAGTTACTGTCGAAGATTATGCGCGATCTCTTCTTGCGCACATCGAAAAGCGAGATGATGTCGTGCATGCGTGGATATACTTGGGTAAATTTTCTGAGGGAGAGCTAGCTATATGAGGGATGAATAATATGCTGATGAGACGAAAAGATCATGATCTAGTAATCAAACAAGCTCAACGCCTGGATGAGATACCTGCTGCTGAACGAGGTCCGCTACATGGGGTGGCTGTCGGCGTCAAAGACATTATGAATACTGAAGGTTCTCTTACGCTGTTCACGCTTTCGAATTCCATCCCTGATTGCTTTAGACATGCCCACCGAGTTTGGATCGCCCCTTTATAAGGATAATCGGCCGGGCATGGACTCTTCAGCCGTTGGCATCCTGCGGACTGCTGGAGCGCTCATCCTTGGTCCGTTACGTGTCTTACACATTTGATTCTGTTCTAATTCTAGATGCGTGTCTAGGCAAAACAGTCACCTCAGAATTCACGGTAGCAAACACAGGGACTAACACTACGAATCCTCACGATCCGAAGCGCACACCCGGCGGCTCGTCTTGTGGATCAGCCGCAGCAGTCGCTGATTTCCAGGTTCCATTGAGTGTTGGTACGCAAACTGCTGGTAGTGTCATTCGTCCAGCTTCCTTCGTCGGCATTTATGCCATGAAGCCAACTTATAGCACGATCTCCAATGATGGACAAATGACTTACTCGATCTCCGTTGACACTTTCGGCTTCTTCGCTCGCAGTGTTGAGGATCTTCAACTGATCGCAGACGTGTTTGCCCTACAAGACGACGAAGTACCCATCGAGAAGCCATTAAGCAAAATCCACATCGCCATGATAAAAACACCCTTGTGGCATCTGGCAGGGCCAGGAACAAGAGATGCTATGGATAAATCAGCTTCCATACTAACTTCGCATGGGGTAAAAGTAGATGAAGCTTTTTTCCCTTCAAATTATAGTGATGGTAATATATTAAAGCGAATGTTTAGTCTCATCGCTGATGGTGAAGCTCAATCAGCATTCCTAAAAGAATATCGAATGGACAAGACGAAGGTGGCTAAAGAGATCCCGGACCTGGTCGAGAACAAATTTAACTATACGAAAAAAGAGAGACTGCAGGCACTAGACACGTACGCGCGCATGCGACCAGTTTTTGATGACTTGGCTTCGAAATATGATGCAATCATTACGCCTAGCGTTCCTGACATCGCGCCGGTTGGGCTTGACTGGATGGGGGATCCCTCGTTCAATCTTTTGTGGACAGTAAGCCGACTACCATAGTGTCCCAGTTCTAATCTTGATAATTTGTTCACAGGGATTACATATGCCGATGATTAATATCCCGGCCTTCACCGGCTCATGTGGGATGCCAATTGGACTTTCGATTGTCGCAGGCAGATTTTTTGACCAACATCTCCTAAAGATTGCCAAAGTCCTGTCGGTGCCTCTTACGGACGAAGGCGACTGGTTGGCAACATTGCACTAGCTCTAAAAAGCACAAGCACGGATTACTAAGCGTTTGCTCTACAACCCCACTCCCTTGCCATGGGCATTCGGCATCCACACAACAACGCTCTCCATTCCAAGACTGTTTTCACAACTTAACTGCGGATCTCTGCCCCTTATTCTCGTTTGTAAGCTATCCTAGGCAGGAGCTCGTCCAGAAACATTTCTGCTCTTTACTTGTCCACCTGTGGAAGGCTTAGTGTACTGCTTTTCTTCACCCCGGAAATACCTGATAGTATCATACCAGACACAAAACATAGCTTTGCAGACATTCAGACTGCATCAAGACCACAACAATGGCCAAGTTCAGTGACTTGAGTGTGGATCTTATATACGTCATTTTCTCTCATCTCCAGTCTGATAAGCCTCAACTTCACAACATATCACTATCGTGTCGGCGATTCCGTGATGTGGCTCAACGCTTCATTGTTCGAAATGCCTCGATTCATAGCCGCAAAGGCTCACGAACTAAGCTATTCCTCCGGACTTTAATTGAGCGACCCGACCTGGTCGTTCATGTGCACCGATTAGAACTTGACCTTTTTCGCGAAGTCGTCCATTGGCCGACGGAGCAACAGAACATCCTTCAAATCACTCGTCGACTTAACAACTTACGAGAATTTTGCTACCGATCCCTAGATCACAAGGCATGGCACTTCTGCATACCTCAGCCGCTCATATGGCGACGTGAAGGCTCCCACGACCATATCCGAAGGGTGGAGTGGCACCAGAACATGGCGCCTGGTGATTTGTGGGCTTGCATGGAGCTACCTCGCATAGATAGCATACTGTGTGGTGAGCTTCAGGACAACGCGTCGCACACCTCTACGTCTTTCAACCTCCCGGCTTGGAAGCACAAGACGTCTTCCCTTACGGACCTTGAGATTGGCACCCAGTACTCCTTAACCATTGATTCACTTCGAATCCTACTACACTCCCCGCGGTCCTTGAAGAAGATCACATTCATTTCCCGTGGTTATTTCAAGGAGATGATCAGTCCAGACGCTTTAGCGCGATTATTAGAACCTGTCAAGGACTCTCTTGAAGAGCTCTCGATTGAGATTTACAATAGTTCGCTTCCACCGGCAAGCCAACCAACAGATCTTTCTGCATTCAAATCACTCAGGAAGCTTTCAGTACCCTTTCGATATGTGTTTGGACGAGACGCTCAGGTACCATATCACGCTGATGACTTTCTTCCGCCTCGACTAGACGACCTAAAGGTACGTGTGCTGGCTTGGTAGTATAATGCATACTGAATGAACGTTTAGTTATCGTTTGCGCCTTCCAAGTCACCGAAACGAACAAAAGCGACGTCTCAGAACTTCAAAGTGTTACTCGGATGGTTGAAAGACATGGATACGAAAAAGGGAGCACATCTCAGGCTGCCCATGCTCACTGATGTAACATTGCAACTGAATCCTTTCTTGGGCCCGTTTCCTGATCTAGACGATGTATTACTCCAGGAGACGCTGGAATATTGGAATGCGACTACGAAGGGCAAAGTAGACGATAGTCGACTCAGCATCAAATGCCGCCAGTAGACGGCGGGTGGCAATGTCCTCTTGGAATACCAGATACAACTTACGCTTGATTTTGACATCATGGGTCAAGTTGAGGCATTGTTGCTTATCATATATCTTTCAACTCGTCACATTGGTGCTACTGACAGGTCTCATCATCAATACGAGCTACTACACGCCCTCGGTATCTACAAGAGATGCCTTTGGCACATTTATTCATGTATATGAAGTTCATCATTTTCAAGTCAAAACAAACCTTTTCTCCCATGCCCCCATATCAAATCCTTCTTTGCTGGCTCTGCAACCACGTGACATTTTTTTTAGACTTCACAACCGTTGACTTCACTCAGAGAAAGCAGACAGGCATCATTAACTTCACTGCCATATCAGTCTCCAAGACATTGTGACCCAGTCCACTCTTTTTAGACCCAAAAGTGGGAAGATAGTGTTCTGTAAAACCCAGAAAGAAGGAGAGAAGAAGCTCCAATGCGTTTCACACTTGCATGGAGAATAGGCCATTGAGAAAGTCTATAGACCGTCATTATCATGTGCCGATGTGCATCATCATCATAAGCACTTAAAATAATCCGTCTCGTCGGCGGCCATTCTCAGAATTGCGCCTTTGTTCAAGACCACATTGTTATGTCGATAAGTCGCGCCGGTCCATACAGCGGCTCTTCTGTAGTTTATGACGTGGATAGGCTTTTGTTGACCCATACGCTGAATGCTGGCGCAAGTTTTAATCTTTCGGGCCCGAACGTTTCCATGCAATCTTGCGCGCCTCTTTGTTATTACCAGCGCTAATAACGACGCTGCCATATCGGATCATACTGCCAGCCTTTGATCCGAATCCCTTGTAAATAGTCTGCTAGCCTTTTCAGAGCTATACATGTAGCGTTGGATTATGGTGAAGAAGCAAGCGAGAGGGAGCGATCAGTGAGCTTTTTATACTTGGGGTGGGGGGGGGGTGGTCTGAATATGAGTTGTGCTCACTCCGCATACGTGAAATTGTTGTTATTTCAATTGAGTGATATTGTACAGAATCCACGACGAGCATAGGAAGAGTGTTTTGATATGTACGGCATCCAATCATACAACGCCATATATAATGCCCTTTTTTTTTGAACTCAAGGCGAAGACAATGCGAACACGGGTCGATCTTCTTCCCTTTTCTTTTCAAACCATGTATTGAAAGAGGCGTTCCCGGGTTCACGCAACCGACATCTCGTATGTGTATCCTTAACTTTGGGGGGTTCTAAGTGCAGTGCATGAACTCGACAGAGTAAGGCTCGTGTACCAGATCAGCATACGCGCCAAGCCGCATCAAGATTATGCTGGTCATATGTAGCATTTCGGAAGCAGTCAAGATTCACTACCGTAGATTTGTGGTTCGAGCAATATCCGGATAGCTTGTTGAGAATGTGGGGGCACCGCACGTGTCTTCCACTTTGATCGTTGTGATTTGTGTTTCGGTCCATAGCCGCACAGGATATCAAGGTTTTTAGCCGGACGAGCACCATGTGTGCGTTTCAGCCACGCTTGCAGTCCCCATGACATGGACATAT